TAAGTACAGTCCATTTACCATTATTACCAAATCTGTCTTGTAGTGGAGCCCTGTGTTAAAAACTTATGAAAAAAATTGTAAAACACAAGACAGATTAAGGAGAGAGACGAGCAAGAGTTTCAGTCAAAAATCCAGGATTCTGACGTGGAGCCTACATACCACTGTAAATCAGCCTTCATCTGGATATCCGCTGGCTACACCGTCCCGAACCACTGGCCACTGATAATCAATGGACATCGATAGTCTGACTAAAGAAAAAAATCAGGATTGGACCCAAAAACAAAGACAGCTGGAGACAACAGGATGATTTCAGTGATTTTTAATATAAATAGTTCTTACAGTCAGGTACAGATATGTAAGCAGGTAGGTGGTCAAGGTAAAGCAAAAAGTAAAACATCAAACAGAGGGACAAGACAAGGGACTAAACAACCAGAAACACCAGTAGCCATTCACAAAACAACCAGGAACAGCTTGGGACGAAACCAGGATGAACTGAGGGGAACACAAAGACACAGGTGACGTGAAGGATAACTAGACACGTGAAAATAATCAAGGTCGGGGCAGATAATCAAAATTGGGGAGGGAAAAAATAGACAAACGAAGGAGGATTTACAAGACACAAGAGGAGGAGTAAACAAAATAAAACGGGAAATAACTAAAGAAAACCAAAAACCATGAGAACTTGGCTGCTCAACCCACCAACCAACAGACAAATAATCTGCGTCAGTTTAGCCCAAATGGATCCATACCAATGAGAGGTACAGCATCTAAACTGAAGCTGATATAATGCCATTCTATATTAATATCTATTAAATCTACATTAACAAAGAGCTTTGGGACAAACGCTGCCATAGTCGGAAAAAGTTTTACATGCAAATATTGCTATGTATAGTAACATTGCATAAAACAACAAATACAGTACTGTCTGCAATGAAATAACTCGATTGGGAAAAGAATCAAACTGAACCCATGAGGGATCTTCTCTATGCTAGCAGATAGAGAGCTGCTGTTTGGGCAATACAGACATAAACCAACAAACCAACATAAACATTTATCAACTTTCATAAAAGCATCTAAAGTATAAATGTATTACTTAGATTTACATCACATTGTGTAGAGTCTGTTTCACTGTGTCTGTATTTTTTCAGATATTGTTAACACCAGTATCGATGGAGTAGCTGTGACACAGACCAGGTTTGAGCCAACCAAGAAAATGTCCACCTATTTACTGGCCATCGTCGTCTCTGAATACTCAAACATCAGCGCCACACAAGGAGAGACTCTGGTAACTGTCTACGACATTCATCCCTTTAAAACTGCAGCAGTTAACTTTTGAAAAAATTAACTTTTTGTCATATTTGCTGAAGCTTTTCACATATCCTGACAGTAGGACATACAAACAGATTAATCTTTAAAAATATCAGCGTGAGAGACGCTGGAAATGAGACTCAACAATGGCACCTATGCTTTCGGCTCTGATATGGTTGTTTTGTTCAGCCCGCTGGATTCTTGCAAATACCATTGAGGCACTAGGACGGAGCCATTCACAGATTATCTGTCTCATGTAATACTGTCAGGATTAGTGAAAGTTTCAGTGAATAAGACAACCAATTATTTTTGGAAAAGTCACCTACTGCAGCTTTAATCAACTAATAATTTAAGCTGTACATGAAAATGTTTTGTGTGCAAGAAAAAAATATTTGTAATGCTTGTTTTTGTAAGTTTATAAAAGTCTTAAAACCTGCATACACATAAGTTTGCTGTTATGTGTTCAGATCCGTATCTGGGCTCGCAGGACAGCCATTGACCAGGGACAAGGAAACTACGCCCTCAATGTGACTGGACCCGTACTGGACTTCTTCCAGATGTACTATAACATTTCCTACCCTCTGAGCAAGTCAGGTGAGCCTGCTTTTATAATCATTTGATTTAATCATGCCTAAAATATTGCAGCCTGTCTGTGCTTACATAAACAGATGGCTGTAAGAGAAAGGCCACTTTTAAATAATTTAATTTGCTAATCAAAACTCTAAAACACACTCCTTATGAATGACTCAAGCAATGTAACTTTTGGCTAACATTAAAATGTTGATTATAACCTGATTGATGTATCTAGTTTTTTAACTGTTTATTTTGATTCGTCCAACTCCTAGTATTCAGGTAAAAGTAGTGGATTGTGGGCGGCTGTGGCTCAGAGGTAGAGCGGGTCGTCCACTAGTCAGTAGGTTTGATCCCCGGCTCCTCTAGCTGCACGGCAAAGTGTCCTTGAGCAAGACACTAAGCCCCAAATTGCTCCTGATTCTGTGCATTGGTGTATGAGTGTGTATGAATGATTAGATTCCGTTCTGGTAAACAGTTGGCACCTTGGCAGCCACTACCATCAGTGTATAAATGTGTGTGAATGGGGTGAGTGTGCATTTAGTGTACAGCGTATTGAGTGGTCGAAAGACTAGAAAGGCGCTATATAAGTACAGTCCATTCAACATTTAAAACCACTGTACCTGTAACCCTAACCTAATGGTTATCTTATGTTGTAACTGCAATCTTTAAATTACAACTTCCAACCAATTAAGCCATAATAGAACTGAATTCTCACTGCAATACATCCCAGTCCAATGTCCCTCTTTACAACAAAGTAAAAAAACATTTCAGAACCAAACAAGCCAAAGTTGTAAGGCTGTGTGATATATTGACATGACTGACATGTTCTGTTAATCTGCATTAAACCTGCCCTCTGCCTCACAGACCAAATTGCTCTGCCAGACTTCTTCTTTGGTGCAATGGAGAATTGGGGTCTGGTGACGTACAGAGAAACCAACCTTCTCTATGACCCCATGACCTCCTCCAACAGAAATAAAGAGACCACTGCCACCATCATTGCTCATGAGCTAGCACACATGGTGAACTGATTTTATTTCATTTTGTATTATACCTATTTATTGATTTACTCATTGATTAGTCAACAAATTGACCGATGTCCTCTCTTGTGCAGTGGTTTGGAAACCTGGTGACTCTGCGCTGGTGGAATGAGGTCTGGCTGAATGAGGGCTTTGCTTCATATGTGTCTTACCTGGGAGCAGACCACGCTGAGCCCAGCTGGAATGTGGTGAGAACACAACGTTACATGCATTTGGACTTGACACTGTCCTCTTATCAGTAAATTTTATCAACTTTGCACTCCATCTGAAATCTTAATACATTTCTGTTTGTTTGCTTGCTCCAGAAAGACTTGATAGTACTTGATGACATCCACAGGGTGTTTGCAGTCGATGCTTTGGCCTCTTCTCATCCTCTGTCATCTAAAGAAGACAGTATCATCCTGCCAGACCAGATCACTGAGCAGTTTGATGCCATCTCATACAGCAAGGTATACAGACATCCGCAAGATCTTCTTTTATAATACATTACTGCATAAACACGTCTACGAAAATACAGAATTTTCAGCAACTGGCCATCATTGAGTTACTGGCATTTTTCAACTACTGTACATTGCACTGTATATATTTTGAGTTATACAATATACAAATGTCCTAAACTGATTCATCATTTGATCCCTTGCCACTGTCTGTGTGTCTGTGACTCATCAGGGTGCAGCTGTGTTGAGGATGCTGTCTGATTTTCTCTCGGAGCGTATCTTTGTCCAGGGACTCAGTGTATGTTTCTGTTTTTGCTGGCACAATTGACACATTCAAAGTCGCGCCCATTTTTGCTCTGTGCTCCAATGGCAGTTAAGCTAACCTCAATCAGAACCTCAGTCAACTTACCCTTCTGATGTTTTTTTGTTTGTTTCCAGAGTTACCTCAATCACTTTGCCTACAATAACACAGTGGGGAACGACTTATGGCACCATCTACAGATGGTAAGATGTACAACTAAATTTAATTGCCAAAAATGTTACATATATATTTTTTAGCTTTTTAAAGCTTTAATATTTGACTTGATGTTACTAGCATACAAGAAGAATATACTTTCATTGTTTATGCAATTTATATTTTAGGTTTGGGTTTCTTTTTGCATCTGCACCTGTTTGGTAATGGCTTCACGTTTTCCCATATACTGCAGATGTTTGTGGTTGTGGTTTATGTCAAATTAAGAAACTGCTCTTGTAAATGGAATTCAAATCGAATGCATGTCAGGGACTAAACAGCTGTTGATTGAACTTAATACAAGTTATTAAAAGCTATACAAAGAATGGCTTGTGGCACCATCTACAGTGGTAAGATGGACAACTGCTTAAAGGACAATTCCGGCGCAAAATGAACCTGGGGTTAATAACCCTTATTTACAGAGTTGGTCTGTTGTCTGGGATATGTTTTCATTCTAATTGCACGTGACCCGTTTTAGCAATTACCATATAACGCTAGTCAAC